AAATGGGTACCAGGAATGAATTAAATAATTTTCCTTGGGAGTGAAGCGCGGCCGGCGCGTAAGGCTGACAACCTTACCGCCATCTTTGAGCCGATTGTCTAGATAATGTGGGACCCTCAACGTCCCACAACCCTATGGGCTTTCACGGCCTGCTACAGGGATAGCTTTACTTCACTTACATGTATAACTTCCACACGAGACCCTCCTCTTGCCTACTTTGGAAAAAAACTTTGAAACGAGCGAATTCCTCAGTAGAGGTAAATCTATCCCTGTAACAGGTCGTGAAGACCAGTGAAGGCCCATAGGGTTGTGAGAGGCCTCCACATTTCCTCTAGACAATCGGCTACAGATGGCCCTATGGCCTCCAAGGAAGAATCCTGGTACTCATTTCTGTTAGAGGCTGAGTCGAAATCAGGGCCATAGTGCGGCTGGAATGATTAGGTAAATTGAAAAAATCCACCTCTTCTGGACTCGAACCCGCGACCTTCCGTCTTGTAACAGCGCCTCAACCAACTACGCTACCGCGTGCCCCCCCCCTCAATAGAGTTAATTTAGTTTTTATTCCGACTTTTAGGAATAGCTCCTAGACATATAGGTCCTCTGGAGAAGCCTGTCCCGGAAGAAGACATATAGTCATATATGTGTGTGGGTTTTATACATACGATACGTAATATAAACTTGATTTCGCGTAGCTTGTATCAAGCAGAATGTCTGGATTGCCTGTAGTCCGCCCAGGATTCGAAGCAGATACCTACTGGAATACACGGCATGAACTGAATACTGCTGAATACTATATATTTCATGGCGTCTCATATGAAACATTAAGAAGAAGAAGAGTGAATGGCGGAAGAAGAAAGAGAGAGGAAGTAAAGAAACAAGAAAGAATTATCGTAAGCTACTTGAAGTTCATTCGTCTGGATCATTCCATCAAACAGAGTTAAACAGTTGGTAAATAAATGTGACATGATTTCTTCATGGGAGATTTCCTTAAACTTGTTTCTCACGTTCCAACTCCCTGCGACAATTCTGATTTCGCAGGGTTTGTGCTGGTCACAGCACTGCTGTATGTAATTTGAAACGTATAGACTAGCGATAACCAACCCCACACTAGGCTTGCAGCAGTGCGAGAGGATGGAGGGAGGGTTGTACACGAACACTTCGGCTCGTCATTCGCTCGCCCTGCTTAGTTCGCTGTCTCTTGATTTGTTTCTATGCAAGAGTCCATCCAGTGGCGGATATTTCGTTAGACAACACTAGACACTGCCCCTTTTTTCCCTACTTCCCTTATTTTGGAAAAAATAAATAAATTAGGCATATGCGATCTCCATGCTGTCTGTGTTTCCCCCGCACCCATCAACTTCTGAATGGCTGAAACTTGGTGTGTGTATATCATGGCATGTGAGCTCATTTCAGCGGCGTACTTCATAAATCGTTCCTATCAGTATGTGTCCCTCCTGTAATGGGTAGTATATTTTTATTTAATTTATTTGTGATTTGATAAATGAAGGCACGAGTAACTCAGAATTTTAGGGTCTAATGATCGAATTACATCGATTCGTGATTTGGAAAGATTACAGGTGCCACCAAACCGGCATTTTCATGGAGGGATTGAGGAAATCCAAGAAAAATTTAATTCAGGATAGGCAATGTTCCGACCAAAATTCGAATCGAGGACCTCCCGAATACAAATCAGAAGCGTTACCGAAAGAGCCACCTTACTCTAGTCCTCACTTCATCAACTAGACAATCGCTAATAAAAGAAATATTTATCCAATAAAATATGTCGTATGGTCGTGGCCTACTTAAGGCGTTTGAGTCGAGCGACTAAGGAACACCACTCTATCTGCATAGCCGAGCCTAGAGCTCGTGAATCCACGGATACGAAACGAGCCTGGTAACCACTACACCCGGTATCCACTCGACAACAGCCGGGCACAGTGAACAGAGACACTCTCTGTCCACAGTTTGCACACCGGTACACCTGCCAGTTATTAGAGGAGGTTCCGTCTGTCGACTAGAAAAGAGATATCTCTAGTTTGACCTTACGCAAGAAGATAGTGACAGAATTTGTTTTATTATTTTCCTAAATTACTTCAGGCAGTATTAGGAGTAATAACTTAAAATGGGCCACACCCACTTCCACATGTTTCCGATTAGCAGGTCACAGTCCCATCAACAATCTAACATTGACAACGTACTCAGTTAGGATAGCGTCGTTAAATAACTTTGGCATGATTTATGACATCAAGCTTCCAGGAGGGAGCGAGGGGCGTGTGCTAATTATGACTTTTTATCGGGAGGTGGCAGCTGGACCCCAAATCGGGGCGCAGACTTTTATGTGCCCATTAGATTAGAGGCCCATTTGACACTTTGACAAGTACCAGAAGCGAAGTACAGAAAGAGTATAATTCATTATGGTAGGAGGGCCCAACGTTTTAAAAACCATGCCTTTAAGAACCAGGTTAATATTTCTCCCATCCAACTTTAGATCTTCCAAGAACTTACTTTCCATTACATTTTCCCACAAAATCGTGTATCTCTAATCTCTACAATGCAAGCTACATGCCCAGTCAATCATAACGTATAAAAACTAGACAACCCATAATATCCTTCAATGTTCTCATGTGTTAACTCTTCTTAGAGCCACATATTTTCCTGAACACGATGGTCTTCAACACTTGTAATTAATTCCTTCCCTTGCAGCACAAGCCACGTTTTAAAGCCGTACAGAACAGTTAGTGAAGTTAGGTTTTATATATTTGACATTTGTTATCCTTTTCGAATATATGCGTGATTAAGAACACTTTAACTAGGAGTTTATGATTTATTAAAAACGCGGGAAATCAACGCCGATTGCAGTGGCCACGTGGTCTAAGGCATGAACTGTCTTCACCTGCTCAAACACTAGGGTCATGGGTTCGATTCCCCTTCGAGGCATGGATGTTTGTCTAGTTTATTCTGTATTGAAAAACCGAACTGAAACGACTCCTTTCACGAATGCCCTATGCTTCAGAGGGTACAACAGAATATGAATGAATTAATGAGGAAATCAACAATTCAACCATATATTTTAAGTAAGATCTGAGGTTTTCAAAACGGTGACTATAAATAATGCCGTCTTCTGGGATGTGGCGCCGTATATATTGTGTGAACCGACGTTTCAGAGGAACATATCGCCTCCATCTTCATGGTAGAAAAAAATCTGAGAGCGAGGAACCAGTACAGCCACATGCTCACGCTGGTTATTCTACCCTGAAGATGGAGGCGATACGTTCCTCCAAAAGTCGGTTCACACAAGATCTACACGACTCCACAACCCAGAAGACGATATTCTTCATTATCTATTTTAATATTATCTTCTGAGTCTCCCTATTGTCCTTTCTTCCATGATGAATTTGACCCATAATTTTGTATACATTAATTTACTTTTCATGAGTGCTACGTGCTCCCTATTTAACTGCGTTGTTCTAACAATGCCAGCTCTGATAAGCTGGTATAGCCCTGTCAGTAACATAACAGGCCATGGGACTAGAAAACCGGGGTTCGATCACCAGCAGAACAAGCATTTTCTTTTTGAATTCACCTCCATAAGCCTGTCGGATGTAGGGACACAAAATGTGTATTGTAAGGTCCTTTCTTACAGGCTTTTGTCACTCCCCT